TAATTTTCAAATGGAACATTGCAGGAAGGAGGAGGTTGTGTTTTCTTTGACTGGTATGACCCCCCAATGTGTCGTAGGGCCAAATCACTAATTCCTGGACTTTTGAAAAAGATGAATGCAAGTGAAGAAGAGATTTTGAAGCTGAAGGCAGAGACATTAAGTTTGGCTGCAAATAACAGAAAATTAAAGAAAATTATTCTTGTGTTGGTTCTTTTGGTTGTGTCAATTCTCATCATTTTGAAGAACTGAAGTGTAAGGGTGATTCTGAAGAACTGAAATGGTAGGGTTATTCTCATCATTGCTGATCATTTTGGAAACTGTATGGATGAATGCTGTTGTTTTGTTCCATTTGAAATTTGAACTATCATGTATGGATTATGTTGTTGTTGTCTTCCTTTTGAAATGTAAGGGTTCTTTTGAACTGAAGTGTAAGGGTTCTTTTGGTTGTGTTGTTTTGTTTTCTTGCTTCAGTGTATTCAATTTGCAGCTTATGTAATGGATGTTTGACTGTGTACTAATGTTTATTCATGGATATGTTCTTCTTTATTTCATATACTTTTATTAGTATTGTTTGTTAAGAGTTTTAAACATAAAAAGTAGAATGTCTACAACATAAGTAAAGTACATGCTTATCAAAAAAACATAAACTGAATTATATATAAAACAGAAGTGTCATTACAAAAGCTCTTTAATCACAGTTCTAAACATCAAACACTCCCCATATTTATCATCAAAACAACTTAAACTTGTAGTCACAAACTAAGAGAGACAACAAACACTCCCAAATACAGTTTCAAAACAACAAACACTTCAAAAAAGATGTTATTGTCCAACACTTCCAACACTTATAACCCAAAAGCACTTACAAAACAACCTAATCAGACCAATAACACTTCCAAAACATCAAGCACACAGACTTCCATTGTTACTGCTTCTTTTTCTTTCCTTTCTGCACACAAACTGAATTTTGAGAAAAATCCATGAACTTTTGGCCACCATCAATAACAATGGACTTTGAGCTGGTTGGTTGTGAACTGAATATTGGCAGTGTATATCCACCTATTATTGGTGGGGGTGCTCTAATGTTGATCCTTGTTTGAAGGGGGTTTGGGGCTGAAACTGAGGACATCTTCAACTGTTGAAATGGAGTAGGGCCTGTCTTATGGGGCTGCATGTGCGGATACAATGTGCTATCAGCCTGGCTTTCAATGGCTGCAACCAAATCCTCATCAGAAATTTGACTAAACATCACATCATCTGGATTGGGAGGTAGAACTGTAGGATTTGCATTTGTATGAGTTTGATTACCACTTCCATTTCCTTTGGTAACCTATATAAACACATTTAAAAGTTCACATTTTATAAGTGCAAGTACAAACTAACAAGAAAATGGAGAGATTATGTTACCTTTAGTTTCTCCCTAAATTCTGATTGTGGATTCCCAATTGGTGCTTCATTGGAATGGGTTTGGCCTTCACTTTGTTTTCCTTTCTTAACCTGTATATACACATGATCACAGTGTTACACATACAAACACTTAACAAATGTATAATATTAAAAATAATAAAAACATTAACTTACCCTTTTCATGGCTGGATTTTTACAAGTCAATGCATTATGACCTGGTTCATGGCACTTCCTACATCTCAGTGTGCCTTGTTGCCTCTTCAGTTTGTGGGGATCACTTGATGACTTCTTTCTTTTAGGGTTTGCCTCATCAGATTCTCTCCTTCTAAGAGAACTTGGTCTGCCTCTGCCTCTTCCAAAATTTGGTGGCAATGGAGGGATGTACAAACTTTTCCCCCATAAAGATTCACCACTCAAAGGCATTATGGCTGGTCCATAAACTTTTTTTATAAACCTCATGAGTCGCAATGGTCTACCTAGTCCAGTGGATCCCTTTTTTGGTGGAGAATGGCTCTCATGACATGTGAACATGGTATACCACTCAATCCCCATGCTCTACAACTGTATTTCATCTTGTCAAGAGCCACAGAATACTGATCTCCATGTGAACATGTGATTTGGTAGTTGTTTTTATCTGCCTTTATGGGGATGCAATCAGACACATTCTCCAAATGCTTCTCATAAATCTGTTGAATTTTGGGGCACAACCTGCCTTGGCACTTTGCAACTGCCTTGTCCCTGTTTTGTTGTAGCCTCCTCATCAAATACTCTCTTATCCATTCTAGCATAGTGATTATAGATTTCTCTCTTGCATCCAAAATGTTTGAATTGAAAGACTCACAAACATTGTTAAGCACCATATCACATTTAGGAAATTCAGTGAAATGTGACTTAGACTCAGAGGGTGGTTTATCATGGAACCATTCCCAGGCCTCTTGACTTAATTCCTTCATTTCCATCATCCTCAATTTGAATTCCCCTTCTGTTGTTGCTTGAGCTGCCCTCCATAGGGCAGTCTTAAAACTAAGACCCTGAAACCAGCATTTTTGAAATTGCTATGGAGGTGTCTAACACAAAATCTATGGGGGCTGGATGGGAAAACTTCTTTAAAAGCTTAAATAAGACCCTTCTGTTTGTCACTCATGAATTTCATCTCCTCTTCTTTTTCAATCTCAAGGTCTGACTTTAGCACAGTTAGAAACCATGACCAAGTCTCCCTTGTTTACCCTCTCACTATGGCATATGCTATGGGGTAGAGATTGTTGTTAGGGTCAACTCCTACTGCAGTTAACAAAATACCCTCATGAGGACCCTTCAGGTGACACCCATCTACCCCAATTATAGGTCTGCAACCCCTCTTGAAACCTTCTTTCAAAGCACCAAAACAACAATAGAATTTGCTAAACCTGAGTTCACCATTTTCAGACTCAGTGTCTAAGATCACTGTGCTTCCAGGGTTTGTTTGCCTAACCTCTTCTGCATAATCCCATAGCTTAGTGTATTGCACAGTTGGATCACCCTCTATCACTGCAAGTGCTCTCTTCTTTGCCCTGTATGCCTGTTGTTTAGAGACATCTACCCCCAGTTTTTTTATCACCTCTGTCCTCCACCCTTTTATGCTTCTCTTTGGATCAACCTCAAAATTCCCAATGAACTTTTCACTAAGCCATTTACTTTTCACATTCTTCACATTAAATTCAGGAGGACAAGTATGAGTAGGTACATAGGTTGAAAGCTTGTAAGATGTTTCATCTGCTTTCTTCAGTGCATTCATTCTCCACTTGCATCCCTCAGCTTTACACTGTGCATAAATTCTTCTGGTGTCATTTCTTGTAAAGTGTAAGCTTCTTTTACTTCTAATAGCATGAGATTGTACTGCCTTTTTGAACTCTGCCTTAGTAGCAAACACCATTCCTAACTCAAATGTTGGTTTAAAAATCATGGCAGGGTTGAACACAGGATCATTAGACTCACATTCATCATCAGACACTCTTCTCTCATCAAAATGAAGCACTTCATGAACTACATCATCATCCTCAGAAACACTATCCGCAGCATCAATATTACTCACATCTACACTTCCTTTTTGCACATGAATATTACTCTCAGACACATCAACATTACTACCATGGACCACATCATCATCAGTATCTGCAGCATATACATTACTCACATCAACATATTCTGACCATATTTCATCATCTTCACTAACTTCATTACTCATATCATAGTCAAAATCATGCAGTGAATTAGAGCCAGACTCACAGTCACTAACCCACACAAATTTTCTAACTGTTTTGTAGGCTTCCTCAATTGGTAACCACTTACCGCCTAATTGTTTTTCTGGATTAGGATTGGGTACAACAGGAGTTTCAACTTCCACATCAACATATATAAACAACTCTCTGCTTTTAATAGCTTGAAGTGTACATTTTTGCAGGTCAGCTTCAACAGGCAATAACATAAAACCATCTTCATCATAAATGTAATACCTCTTACCCCCAATAACACCTGCTTGTTCACACCACTTATTCAAATATGCAAACTTCATTTCATCTTGGGAAGTATAATCACATATAAACCTCTGCCCCCCTTCATATTTTGCTGTAGGAGTATGAATAAACTTCCCACCCCAATGCACAACTAATGAGAAACTATCTGAATCAGGATCTGAAATATTATAATCAAAACACAAAGAACAAAAAATAGAGTAAGTACAAATAGACACAACAATAAAGAAACAAACATGTCTAAACTTTCACAAACATGTGGTCCTCTCTGTCACCATTAAATATAATTCATTGAAATACAACATGACAAACACACCACACACCATTTACTTCTAAATACAGACTATCACATGCCAAGATTTGATTTTGCTATAAAACAGTAAAAAGAAAGAAAAAACTCACGATACATCGGAGGAAGCAAATTTATGTGCATTTTTGGTCTCATGAAACCCATTTCTGAAAGCCTTTAACATGTGCGTCTTCAATGGTATATAATCTTCTTTGGCAGATTTTCAGGGTGTGCGATTTTCGCGTCACGAATTAAGGAACTAGGGTTTTTTGTTTGCGGGCAAGAAGAAGAAATGAAAAGGCCGATTTTGTCAATTTTGGGACATTTTCTCCAATTATGTTGTGTTTTCCCGCCCCCTGTGCCTCGTCATCTGCCAAGGAGGATTTAGTAGCCATGTCATCGGCCACGCTGTTAATTGATCGACCAGGTGTGATATTGTGAAGCCACGTCGACAGCTCCGGGCCGGAAAAGGCATCGGGGACCACAACTGTCCTGCTTTTGATGGATTTTAAAAAGTTAGTGGACCAGTTTTGGGAAAGACCATTCCATTGGGACCAAAAGCGGAATACCCGATAGTTGTGGGACTACTTTTGATATTTTCCCTTATTTGCTCTTATTTGTCTAATTAAAATGAATTAAATAGTTTCTTTATTTTAGTTAGCGTCTGCGGTTATTATGTCTGGGTAGCCGGAGCCTAGTATTTGTCAGAACGCGCTATATTATGCTTGGGTAGGCGGCGCCCGATATGTGTTATTAGTTGGATCTTATTTGAATATTAGATATTTAATACCCCATTCAAAAGGTTCCCCTAATAAATATAAGTCTCATATTGGATGCATGACGTCACCCATCACAATTGAATGAGTGCAAAACCTCCTCGTCCAAATGTATTTACACTCTAGTGTTTGCTTAGGTCTACGAGACTCAAACGCATTCATAGATACATATGTTTGTGACCGTGTGATGAGGCTCAAACGCATTTATAGATACATATGTTTGTAATCGTGTGATGGTTTTGACTTACTTAGTTAATTCTTGTCACC